TCTATGGCTTCTCTGGACCGTCTGAAAGACACACATGATGCACCTGTTATCCAAACCATTCCAAATGACCAAAAGAGGATTTCTCAAACTTAGACTCTGCTGCTGAGCTGGGCCCTCGCAACCGGCCAGCTGGTTTGTGAGCCCGGCTCAGGGCATCTCCCTACAGAATGGGCAGTTGGGAGGCACAGGAGGGCAGGGTCCCTGTCATCAAAACACATTTCGTCCTGGTCAGTTAAGACCAACAGCTCCCCTGTCCCAGAGGCAAAGAAAGGCTGGGAACCTGAGGAACAGAGAACTCTACTAACTTGTAGGTGGCACAGGACAGGCTCGCCCAGGCATTCCTGGAAGAAATCAGACTGTCAAGTGGGCAGTACACACTGGCCCGCTTCTGGAATCATTCTCTGCTATAGAGGCTCCCCCTCGGGGTCAGGGACACAGCAACAAAAGGACAGAGCAAATTGCTCATGGCAGAGGTCAAGTTATGGATGGAAGTTTACTTCCTGGTCCTACGCTGGGGCCACCGCTAGGCCTTCTACCACAATTTTATCTTCAGACAAAAATAAAGGTAGATGCCAGCTCAGACCATGTGAGTTCCTTCGTCTGTGGGTAAAGTGCGTCTATGTCAGCCTGGAAGGGCAGTTGGGAGCCCAGCGGGGAGAGGTGGGAGGAGGAAGTACAGACAAAGACTGGAGTCTGGGCATTGGCAGGTCTGTACCACAGGAGCAGACCCAGGATGGCACAGTGGCAGGGCCAGTGGAGGTAGAGGAAGGAAGCATAGCTGGAAGATCTAGAATATCAAGGTGAAGAGGGCAGACCTGGTCCTGGGCCCAGCTTGGAGTGGATGAATGGAATGGTTTGGAAACAAACAAATACACCGAATACATTGGGTGGTCCTGCAGATAGATTATGAGCATCCTCTGTAGTGCCCCAATATGAAAGAAGGAGAAGGGAAGTGGGGAGGTGGAGGTAGGGGAGGGAGGAGGGTGAGGATTTTGGTGACTTGAGAGGAATCTGCCAGCACTGGGCACCCAGATGGGGTGGGGGTGGGGGTGGCTCGGGGGAAGCTGTGGAATTCGGAAAAGGAGGGATCAAACCTGATTGTGAGCTTCTCTGCTAGTGCAGGACCCCCTAGAGCTTTGCCAACCTAGATGATGACTTCCTCTTTCATGCAACGCACCCTGGAAATCTGACAGCAATGGGCGTCAACTTCTATAGTGAGGTGTAGATACCTTTGGCTGCTTTGTCCAGGGCATCACCTGCCTCCCCCTATAGGTTTTCATAGACACCTTGTAGAGCAGGAAGATGCATTTCTCACCAGTGGGTGAGGAAAATTCACGAGGGTGCTAGGAAGGACTGTGGAAAATGTGTTTGTCCAGTATAGGCCTTTTGGGGCCAGGCTTCTGGGATATGATTCCGCATGAACAATAACCATGGGACATTGTCAAACAAGTGCTTCATGTGAGAAGTAAATGGGGCTCTGAGAATATGTAACCCAATGTGGCGTTCCAGAGAAATCTTTCCTGAGAAAGTGGCCTTTGATTTGCAAGCTGAGGTTGACTCCATATTATGTAGGGAGGTGGGGTAGAGCTAAATTTTGGAATGACTCTCTTATATTCCTGCCATGCTGTTCTTCACATACACCAACAATGCCCTATAACCGGATAGGACAATTTCAGGAAGCATGAGAATACTTGGTGACATTCTTGGCTCACAGCTGAATTCCACATGCATATTATCCATTTCTTGGTTATTAGGGCTCATGTGATTGTGTGTGAAGTGTAGATAATTGAAAAACAATCACCAGACCTCTTTTTCATCATTATCTTCCCCTACCCAACTTGTGTTTTTAAACCAGAGTCACTAACCACTGGTGGCAAGCTTTGATTTGTGGTTTCCTATCTGTCCTGGCTCACGGAAATGACTCAGATAAGTTGCAAGACACAAGGGTGCCTTACCCCACCTTCCTAGATAATAGGGAGTCAACCTCAACTCTCAAATCAAAGGACACTTCCTCAGGGAAGATTTCTCTGGAATATTCTCAGAGTTATACGTTCTCAGAGCCCCTTGTACGTCTCACATGAAGCACTGTTTTCTCTCTCTTTTTTTTTATAAAAGATTTTATTTATTCGTTCAAGACACAGAGATACAGAGAGAGAGCATGAGCAGGGGGAGAGGCAGAGGCAGAGGGAGAAGCAGGCTTTCCACTGAGCTAGGAGCTAGACATGGGGCTCAATCCCAGGACCCTGGGATCATGACCCCGAGTCAAAGGCAGACGCTTAACCATCTGAGCCACCCAGGTGCCCCTGTTTTCTCTTTTGATATTATTATGTGTTTAGCATTGTGATTATTTGATCAATACATTTATTTGCTACCAGACTGAAAGCTCCATGGAGTCAGGGATCACTTCTGGTTTTTCTCTCCCTAGTGACTAGTACAGAGCCTGACTGATCACAGGTGCTTGATAAATGTGAATTGATATAAAGCATGAAAAGTAAAAGAAGAACCAATGGGTCCCAGAAGGTGCTGAGCAACAAATCATCCCAGCAAACTGAACTCCATCCTAGCATTTTTAAGACGAACCTCCAAAGAGTCAGCATTAAATGTCCAAAGGGCAGCTGACTTCATCCTTACAGATAACTCCATGCCTAAATCATGAAATCATCAATAATATTTATTTACTATTATAATAACTAATAATAATAGTATTCCATCATTAATTATGGACTAGCCATAGTGAAAAATAACAATGTCTATAAAGAAGAGAAAGGAAAGAAGCACAAAGTAACTATATCATTTACTTGGAGTATGTAACTTAAACAAATTAAACAATTTAAGCTCCGGAAAAAAGAAAATTAAGAAGAAAGACAATACCAAGTTAAATAGTATAAGCCACTTTGCCAACAATTTCCTCAAGGGCATCTGACTCAGGGAAGATGAAGCAGGACTTGTCCTCGACGGGGTCAGGCAGGCCTCTCACCTCTTGCCTGATTGATTCTTTCATAGGACACAGCCCAGAAATTCAAGTTCACTGCTTTACCTGCTGTCCAACTGAAAAAAAAAATTAAAAAAAAGATTTTCCCCAGGACTGCAGGACACACTGACTACCATGGACTTAATAGGTAGTATTGAGTGAGTCCACTGGGGACCCTCTCTCAGGAATTTTCCAAAGGCAATTTTGACCATACTTGATTTTCTCCTTTTGCTACGGCTATAAAATCCAACTGCTATGTCAGATTCAACCCCCGCCGCCGCCCCCACCGCGTGCATCCTGAGCGTAAGGTGGTAGTTGCAGACTAGCCAGTACTTAAGATGATGTAGGCAGTGCCTTGGTTAAGGAGCGGGGTGGGCTCGTCCCTTCGACCAGGATGAAATAAGTATCTCTGCATAAGACAGGATTGAGGAACTGGAGATGAGTCAGGAGCCTGGTGGGTTTAGTGCCTGGTCTACAGGGGACGTGATGAGCCCCTCGTCTGGCTCATGTGGGTGGATTCTGTACAGGTTTGATTCAAACTTGGGTAAATGGATGAAGAACGGAGACTGCTAAGTCCACATCACTGAACTATGAGGACAGAGAATGGAGACCATCTGTGTCAACAGAACTATTTCTTCCAGGATATTCTTGCCCAGGATGTTAAGACTTTAAACCAATAAATCACTTTACTGTTTGCTGCAGGAAATTCCTACAAAACAATTTGTCCTGGCAAACAGTTTGCTCACCTGGGAAAAGCTTGCTTATCAAACAGTAGTTAACTCGCCAAGATTCTATTCAAGACCATTGTCTTGCTGAATCCACCAATCCTGAACTATGATGTCACATACTCTGCTGAAACCGGATCAATTCTCTGCCTTGAAAAATGCAGCTCCAAGGGTGCGTGCCCAGACCTGTAAACCCTATCAAAGATGCCTCCTGCAGTCCCACCTGCACACCAATGCAACTGTGTCCAGGTGATGTCTGTCCTCACTGCAGTCAGCTGATTGAATTTAGCTTTGCTGTATCAACAGGCTCTTCTGGTGGATTTCTTTGGAGTCCAAAATTGATACAATAAATCAGGTTTAGTGTTTTGCAAGTGGGAAGCATATAAATGCAAGTTAATACATACTTACAACCCATCAGGATGGGATAATTAGTAAACATTGTCAGTTTTCCTTGGTAATTAAGAGGCCCCTATATCATTCCTCCTTTGAGGAAAAAGATCTGGTGCTTGAACGCCTGCCTATGACAGATTTGAAATGCACATTTGACCTCCATTTTTCTACTCATTTACATGATTCTGGGTTTTCCAAATGTTCTACAGTAGGTGTTACTTTGAGGGTGAGTGAAAGGATACAAAGTAAAAGCCATAAAAAAGAAATGAATTCCCAACTGCAAATTTGAAATGACTGCCAAGTCTTAATTTACAACATACAGACACAGAGCGTATCAAACACCCATTTAGAATCTTGTCTCACTCATTAAGCTAGCAAGGTAATTTTAACCTATTCACATCAATATCCAAATAGGAATGTGGTACAGTTGTAATCATGCTGCTTTGGTTCTCTCTTGCCTGATCACAACAGGCCTCTAGGTATATGATAAAATACAGCAACAAATAACATTCAATCAGCCTAGGGTGAGACCTGGGAATCTGTTCTTTGTGGCTGTTTTTTAATGAGGACTTAAGTGACTCATACAATCAAGCAAAGTGTGAAACACACTTGCCTACAGCATCGATTTTCTGGAAGGCAAATTCCAGCTTCTATCATAAAACCCATCCAGCTAGCTGAGCAGTTGACAAAGATTGCCTCAACTGTTTTACACAGGGTGGCATCTCGCAGCTCCTGGGTCCTGGGCCTGTCTTGAAAGCCCTAAGTCACCAAAACACAAGTAAACCCGGTAACAGCTAGCAGCTGGGTTCAGGCGAGCTGCCCCCCCTGCCATAGCGGGCTCAGAGCAGCCTTCCCTCCACAGCTCCCCACGCAGCCCGGCAAAATTAGCAATCCCAATCAAGGCTTCCTTTTACCTTAAAGAAACTTTCTCGCTTGTCCAGACCGCGGGCGCCCATGGTCCAAGCTGACATCTCCCCCTGCGACACTCTACTGCACGCCCGGGACTCCTGAAGGTAGAGACATTTTTAATGGTTAGTCCAGCCTGTAGGAAATTCCTTTCTAAGCCACAGAACACTCACAACAACGGTCCTGCCAAGATCTTTTTCCGTCAACAACACAGTGCCATTTATTTCCCACCAAAGCCCTTCCATCCTCTTTCAGGCTGATTTCCTGCCCCAGACAGCACAGTTCCTAGTCTGTGCCCCACCTCACTGCCCCACCTCCCGCTCCTCCAGCTGACGCAGAAGGTCTCTGGCACTGCGGAAAGGATAATGATTGCTTTGTGTGTTTGCTTGACCTCACGCTCGAGTCCTAAAGGGACCGATATTAGATGTCACGGTAATCTGCTCTGAAGCTTATGGACTTAATGTGGCTGAACACAGACGGACAGCAGAAGAATGAGGCCCTGCATGTCCCAGGAAATCCTGCTGGAATGGGATGAGGTCATCATCAGCTCTGCTAGCCCTCTCCCCCAGGCAAGGGTCAACACAAGGGCACTGGGAATAAATCCCTTTATTTTCTCCCTAGAAATCAAAGATGGGGGTGAAATCCTGTGTCCCTGTTTACAGAGATTAGTTTGTATAAGAAACAGCCCAGAAACAGCTCCATGATAACCCAAGGGGAGGGGGGCGGGGCACTTTGGAATGTAGAGAAAAATTTAAAGGCATGATATGATTCTGAATCATAACTGTGGCCATTTCAGCTTGGAATTTCCCTCACTTGAGCATCGAAACCCGATAAGCCTCCCTCCTGGCTACAAAGCCTGCAGTGTCCACTTCTAAGTAAAATACATACACACCCAAGCAGCTGGTCTCATTCCAGCCCGCATGCATCGAAGACCTGGGGGCGCATCCCCAAACCTTCCTTACCCAGGGAGGCTGGACCAGGAGCGAATATAAAACTGCTCTCCCGCTCACCATAACCTGCCCAAGATAAAGCTCGTCCTCACCATGACCAACACAGTCGGTATAAGGACAATAAAGTGAAAACATGTCACACCACATTAAGGAATATTAAAAGGGGTTCAACTGCGGGGGTGGGGTGGGGAGACATGGAAGCCACAGTCACTGGTGCCAGTTTGCTAGAGCTGTTTCATTATTAGCTGGGGGACAGAGAGCCAGCAGCTCCAAAGAGACTTTTCAACAAGTGGAAAGGCATAATTACTTAGCAGAGAACTACATTCGCATTAGCGAGTAATGGTCTTTGGAAAGGGGCTCATTTTGGCCCCAAGATTAGCCTCAATGTTCACATTCATAGTGGGCTCCATTGATCTGTGGAATCCCGTCTAGGAAGATAGTAATGCAGTGCACACCCATCCCTCTTTCTGGAACCTTCACCTATTTTAGTCCTTTCTCCATGGCTCGGTCACTTTAAAAGTTTGGAGATGCCTTCCCTGTGTTTCTTTCCACTTGCAATCCTGCTGGGATGAAGGCCAATGCTCCAAAACCTCCTGAGAAGACTGGTGAGCTTTCCTTTGCAATTCTGCTGACTCCAAAGCTTCAGGTTCTCGGACTCAGCAGCTGAATGGAGCCCCAGCTCCAAGGCCTTTGAAGTTCACCACTTATTAGCAAAATCGACAGATTGGAGCAACTCCAGAATGAAAACACAGTGCTGTGTTCAGAACCAAGAGGGGAATGGGAGCCACACCATAACCTTGGGGAGCAAATGATTAACTGTTTCGATGCAGAACTACACACATTAAAAAAAAAAAAAAAAAAAAGAACGTTTCTTGAAACCAAGCCTAAAATTCTTTTCCTTTCAGACGTTTTCTCAGTGAGGGATTTGACATCGTACAGCAGTTAAAGAGCTTTCTGGTAAGAGCCAAGACTTCATTCCTCAGCCAGACCTAAGTCTCTCTGTTCCGTTCAGAAGATTTCCACAGACAAACCCCTTCTGATGAGCCATGACAGGCAGGGAATTTTGCCTATAGTAACGGAGCGGTTTGGATTCCAGAAGTTTACCAGTTTAATTAGCTGCCTGAAAATCGCCTGCATGTGCTTCAAACTCCAGCGGTCCTCAGTGAAACAGCCGGTTTGGATTCCGTGTGCACGGGGCAGACAGACCTATCACATTTCTCCAACAAATGCAGGTCACCTCCCTCCTTCTTCAAAAGGCTGCTCCAGGAGGGAGATGACAGCAGGTGATAAGAGCAGGTGGGCAAGCACAACAGCGGGTCCTTCCCACTGAAGGAAATCCAAGTGGACAGCACATCATTGATTATCTTCATTTTAAAAAATTCAGTTCTTAGGGCCCAAGAGAAGTTCTGGCCTAAGGTCCTTCCTGTTGTAGCAATAGTTCCCTTCCCAAACCATAACCTCTAACACCTTAACTCAATATGGACAGAAATTTTAATCTAACTTAAAAGGACAACTTCGTTCCATTCATGGTTCCCCACCCCTCCTTACCCCAAGGGGTTACACCAGCAGTTCAGCCCTAAAACCCCCCCAGTAACAGGCTAGACAGAGAAACAAAAAAAGATGCAGTAGTTTGAGAGGTTGTAAAATTCCTCCAGATTTATATGTTGGGAGCTTGCTCCTTTCCTGGATTCCCTGAAGGGTAAAGTGGATTCTTGAAAAATGAGCCCATCACGTCCATCCAGTGGATCTTTCTAGATGCTAGCTAAAAGCTAGCAAAAAAAAAAAAAAATAGTGGGAGGAAAAAAAAAAAGCCCTAATGGGACACTGCAAACATTTTGAAGCTGCCAAGCCTTTTCAATAACACCACTGAAGGAATGTAAACGAAGCGGGTTGCTCCAGTCAGCTAAAGGACAAAGGCAGGAAGTGAATATTCCTCTCTCTCAGAAACACCAGCCTCTGCCACTTGAGAGTAAACCTAGCTGTGGCTTTTCATGTGCCCCAAGAGCCACTGCTGAGGTGAAGGTCCATCCTGAATTTTCAGCGTAGAGGACTCACTGAGTGGTCTGGCAGGGCTCCAGGCTGGCTGTCCAGTGCATTCTACTGCGAGCCACTGAGGACGGGCACGGAGGCACCACCGCCCAGACCCTGGCTGCAGGCTGGGCACAGGGAGAGGGACACCAAGTGCCTAGCTTCCAGGTCACTGACCAGTGGGGCTGGGTTGAGCCACTGGCACTCTGGCCGCTTTTGCTCTCCTTGGCCACGGGCCAGATCTTGGCAAGACAGGAGGGTCCAGGGTGTAGCCTCCTTCCTCCCCTGCCCTCCTCGTCCCCCCTCCGTTTATTTAGTCCAACTACCCTTCCTACTTATTTGCCTCAGGTCACAAGTGCAGACCCACAGGAGAAGCAGAGGGACTTACACTGGCACCCACAACTCACAAGTCCGATTTACAAGAGCCTTCGCCTCTTCAAGGCATGGGTTCTCAACGCCGAGCTGCCGTTGACAGTTGGCCACAAAAGCCTTCTAATCACTACCTTTCTTCTCCCTCCTAGCAGCCAAATGAGACGAGGCAAAGTGGACTTCAGCTCTTAGTAAACAAGATCTCGTTATTATAATTATTTTACAGCCAAACTGACTGAAGAAAGAGAAAGTGACTCACCCCTGGGAATCTGTCAGGTCAAGGCCAATCCTGAGAAATGTACATCACCTGTTTTGCCCAGTTCCTTATGTCACTCTGACGACAGCAGGTCTGTCTTTTGAATGCTTTTCACCGTTACTAAGAGGTGAAAGCTAGTGGGGTGGCTCTGTGTCTGGATCCAGGGAAGGTCTCTGAATATTTCCATAATTATCTTTGTATTACCAGGGATTTTATAAGCTGGACAGAAAAAGCTTTATTCCAGGCTCTGGGTTAACAATTCAAATTACATGAATTTTTTTTTTCAAATTATGTGAATTTTTAAAAATGTTTTTCTTTAAGCATTTTGTATCACTGTCCAGCACTGCTTTTCCCTCAGTTGATAGTCAAACTTTTTCTAAAACAGTTTTAAGATTATGAATTTATTTCATTGAAAAAAGAAACCAAATTGTGGGAATAAATCAGAAGCAAAAAGCTGTACTCCCAGTCCTCTTACTAATAACTGTGTTTTTATTCTTTATTTCATTTTTTTAAAGATTTATTTATTTTTTGAGAGAGAGAGCGAGCACAAGCGTGGGGGGTGGGGTAGGGCAGAGGGAGAGGGACAGAGAGAATCTCAAGCAGACTCCCCTCTGAGTGCAGAGCCCAATGTGGGGCTCAATCTCATGACCCTGAGATCATGACCTGAGCCAAAATCAAGAGTTGGACTCTTCACCGACTGAGCCAACCAGGTGCCCCTAGTAACTGTGTTTTTAAATAGAACTGGGAACAATGTTCAGTACCTCAATTTTCCCCAAAGTAACCAAGGATCATAAAATAATTTTTTCTTTTTTTTCAGCAAGGAGCATTTCTGCCACTCATAAGACTGGCCTGACAATGGGGCTAATTCCACTGGCGGTCTACCCCTTCCATCCTTGGAAAACTGGTGCCTCACGGAGACTCTCGCTATATCCATGCTGCATTAGCTTTGCTGGTGCCCACGTGGCCAAAGTGTGGATTTCACCAACGGCAATGCATGCCACCTTGGGCAAAGGTGGGCAGCTCAACTGGCAAGAAATTCCTGCTTTTCTTGGGTGGGAAACTGCCTCTCTCACCTTCCACCCAATGCCCTCATTTTACCCCTTGGACCATTCAAGAATTAGCTTCCTGCTTCCCCTTCTTCCATATCCCTGAAGAGATCCCTATTCCTCCCTTGAATGAGTGCTTCTCTTGAGCATGGCTCAGTCCTCAATGCTGGTACACTCTGCCCACCTGGAACAGGGCTGAGAAGGGAGAGGGAGTGCCTACCTCCCAGGCCGCTCTCTTTCGGCATTTCAAAAGTATGTGTCTTTTCAACCTCCTCACTTGAAAAGCTCTACGTGGTAAGTGGTAACACACACTGCACATCTGTGCAGTGACTTCACGTACACAATGAGGAAGCCTCATAAGCCACAGTGGCTCTTAACCCAAAGGGGGCCATAGACAGGGAGCCATACACTCTCGGTCTTCCTCAGGGTTTATTTGCCAACCTGTGAGCACCTGAGTTTAGAACTTTCTTTTCTAAGGCTCTCTGGCCATGATGGTAAAAAGTGTATGGTGGTTAATTTTGTGTAGGTAGTTAATTTTAATTGGAGGTTTATAACCTAGCAGCTCTTGAATTGAGTCTACACTGAAGATATAACAGATTAAGTAATACACTTTAAAAAAAAGTTTGAATGAATGGT